TATCAAGCAAATGTGGGAGTTAGGACAACATCCCATCATCATGGGCACTATGTTACTTTTTATGTTTTCACTTAGCTCTGTGTAATTCACTCAAATGCCGCCTTTACCAGGCAGTGTGAGCATTACAAAATATCCTGCCAATACACGGGTCCTTGCATTTAGTGTTCTACAAGAAAGAACAAGATACATTTTTTCTTCTTTCTCCACATAGCTCTAGAAGGGGCAACAATCACAAATATCAACCCTCTGGACGTTTCCTCTGACAGCGATTATGACTTATCTTCTGCCCAGCGGCTATAAAATATGACAGGTATGCATACATATCATCATGATATCCCAAGAATGGATGTCCTTAAGACTGAATAATAAACCACAAGGTGAGGGCATGTTTATACTATAAATGTAAACCAGGTTTGGATCAGAAGGAAATGTCAGGGCATGTTTATGCCATAAATATAAACCAGCTATGACTGGAAAGCCATGAGAGAGCAAGATTTTTTGAAAGTACTGGCATATGTAGTATAGACTATAGTCGTTAGAATTAACCCTTGTTGTAGGCAAAAACTGTCTATTTGATGGTAAATAAACCTTACATAGTATTGGCAGCATTACAGCTTTTGAAACTTTGGCTGCTATGAATTTAATGGAGTTCATTTTTTCTTCAACAGGAATAAGGAGAATGTGGTAAAAAGGAAAAAAATGAGTAAGCAAAACAAAAATCCTGTTTTTCACTGGTATGAAACATCACAAGCCAGCTTCAAGAAATAATTAACTTATTGTTCTGCATTCATAGGGATGTGATGGCAATAGTAGTGCACTTCTTTTTCCTACAGTTGGGAAGAAGAGGGATCTCAACTCCCAGTCACTGTTTATTGCTCCTCTCTAAATATAAATCTCAAGTACTGAAATTCTGCCGAGTATCTTTATCTGACATAGTTGCAGGGATCAAAATTTCCCATTGGCAATAATTTACAAAATTATAAATGCTGCCTAGTAAATAACCAGAAGCTCCTAATTTGGATACACTAAAATTAAAGTATAATTAAAATACTGTAGTTCTTGGTAAACATGAACTAGGAAGGAGCTCTGACATGCTCAGTAGCCATGCATGCATATGTGCATGGTTTTTACAGGTAGCAGTGTGCACTAGATGATCCAAGTAGCTCAATCAGAAAGAAATGAAAACAATTGGAAAAGCTGTAATGGGAAATCAATTAAGGTCTATTTTTGGAATGTGTCAGATCATGAAAAAGGAGGAATATGAGATAATGGGGCAGCACCCTTTAAGACTGATTTTGATTTTCACATGGTTATACACACACACACACACACACACAATCTTCAGCTGTAGTATTGAGTTGAAGGGTGTGTCTGTGACCAATATCCTGTTGCACAAAGTACTGTTTATTATTTGTACATTATAGATCTACCGTCATACAGGGAAGGATTAATATAAATATTAGATCATAATTAAAAATACTAAAAAGAGGAAGAATCCATGCATACAATGTGAACTGAACTATTTGTAATTTGTATAAAAGTATACAAGAGTGATAAAGTATGAGGTAGTCTGAAGTCTCAAAGCTGCACGTGTATTGCTTTTTTTTTACCTCTCACTTTGGCTAGCATTATGCCTATGCATACATTTTAGAGATAAAACAATATAACTATGATCTAACCACAATTCCCTTGTTGTTGGCATTTGCTTAGACAGAGAGAAATGTCTTTGATAAACTGATATGATTCTGCAAAGATCAAAATCATAAACTTAGTTTATAAACTTAGTTTATAAATCCCTAAACGGTTTGGGACCCGCCTACCTTCGCGATCATATCTCTCTCCATGAACCAGCCCGAACTCTTCCATCTTTGGGGGAGGCCCTCCTTTCACCCTTGCCAGTTTCTCAGGCTTGCCTTGTGGGTACAAGGGAGAGAGCCTTCTCCTCTGTGGCCCCCCGACTCTGGAACTCATTGCCCAAAGAGATTAGGAAAGCCCCTACTTTAGAAACCTTTAAAAACAGTCTCAAGACCTGGCTCTACCGTTGTACTTTCAGAGAGTAGTCACATAATCTTTTGCTATTGCTCCCTCAATGTTCTTGTCCTAGGAGTACACCCCCCCCCCCCACGTACGAAGGTTTGTTTATTTCCCTGTCTCTCTCCGAGTTCTCCCTTACAAATAGTTCTGCCCCTTTATCTCACCCTGAGTTTTTAAATCATTTTATGTACATGCGGTCCATTCACTGTCATTGTTTTGGTTTACTGCTTTTTTACGTTTTGTGTATATTGCTTTTATGTTTTATACTTTAATGTTATGTTGTTTATTTTATTGCAATTTGTATCTTATTGTATTGTAATTTGTTTGGGCTTGGCCTCATGTAAGCCGCTCTAAGTCCCCGTTGGGGGAGATGGTGGCGGGGTATAAAGTTTATTATTATTCTTCGTTTCCACACTCCAACCAGAAAAAAAAAATCTACAGGTGGAGATCTGACTATTATTCTGAGGTCTGGATTTAATGGCACAGAAGCCATTTCATATTTGGATCTGTACACTGTAATTTTTAGGTTTTTTGTGAGACATACAAATATCTCTGATTTATAAAATAGATAACTGGAGCATTTCAATCCAACCGGAAAAGCATATGCTTAAATGCACACTCCTGGATAGAGAACTTTTAAAATGTTAATTTGAGAGGATACAGCTTCTAAGTGAAGGGTCAATACATTGAAGTAGATAAAGGTTTTTGGCTACTATTACAGGGGCCTGTGATTCTGTGCCAATTGAAGCTTAATGGATGGTGTTGGGACAGTTACCAATCTTTCAACCTAACTACCTGGAAGGGTTGTTAGGAAGGCAAATAGTGAAAACCATGCAGGCAAACCTAGTCATTATTTTTTAAAAATGTAATGGTTGACTTATTTTGCAAGGTGTGTCTAGAATAAAAAGACTCATAACTGTTGGTTAGATTTTATTTTGTTTGCATTGCCTCACATTCCTTTGTGCTCTGTAGTTCATGCGAATATACCTACGTATATCTGCACACTTCCGCACATGACAAAAAGATGTAACATGCAAAAATGAAATTTTAAAAAAGAGAAGAAACTGATATATCACCATGAAGTTACAAGTAAGTACTAATTCAAGGCCAAAATTAAAGCACCATCTTATTTCTGGAATTCCTTTAAACACAGAACCATAGAGTTGGAAAAGACCACATGGGCCATTCAATCCAACCCCCTGCCATGCAGGAAAAGCACAATCAAAGCACCTCTGACAGATGACCATCCAGCCTCTGACTAAAAGCCTTCAAAGGAGCTTCCAAACATTTTTTTTTAAAAAAAAAATCAACTCTATTCCCTTTGAGACATCTCCACCACTTTGCACTTTCTTCAGGTCTCAATTTCTAATGTAAGAGGGAGATTAATATTAGATTGGGTTGACTTTTCATTATATAAGAGCAAAATGAAATTAATCAGTCAATAATGAGGCGTTATGACCAGGAATTGACAACAATAAGGAAAGGACAATTAGATAACAGAAATTACTGTGCTTAAAACTGATGAAACATAGTGTTGGAGCAGGCATGGGCAAACTTCAGCCCTCCAGGTGTTCTGGACTTCAACTTCCACAATTCCTAACAACCTCTGACTCTTAGGAATTGTGGAAGTCAAAGTCCAGAACACGTGGAGGGCTGAAGTTTTCCCATGCCTGTGTTGAAGGATAACAGTCATCTCTCCATGGAAACGACAGATGCACAAATGGATCTTTTAAGCAGGACACAGAGCAGAAGAGACCTTCTGATGTAAAAGATCTTAGTGACACAAATGAGAAGTGGGAATATTTTTAGCAAGCAAACATTGGGGGAGGAATCAGTAACAAATTAACCATGTACATCTTCATTTCCAAAAGCACAAGTAATAAATCTATGCACAATTCATCAAATTTTATTACCATAGTTGATCACAGACATGGATTTGTCTGCACCAAATTTCCAAAGTATTCAACCTGGTCAGGACTATTAGTAGTCAATTTTTAAAATAAATAAATAATGGACAAGCAATGGGGATAAAGTGCTCAGCAAAGCGTTTCTTCTTGTCAACTGAAAAAGAAAATTGGGGTAATGAATAAGGGAGGAGGCAGAGGGCCTCATTATCTGAATCCTGAATTACTCCCAGAGGCCATTATTTAAAGGATCTGGATATGTGGGCAGCTCACAGATTCCTGTAAGTCTCAGTGACACATATCACATCAAAGCATCAGCATGTTGACAGTTATTCTCAGGTATAAAAATGCATAGTGATTGAGCCTTGCCCTCTCACCTCGGAACAAATCCTTGTTTTGCATCTTCCACATATCTATTACTTCCATAATGCATCATCTGTATGTCTCTGTCAGAGCAGACTGAATAGCTAAATAAGCCCTGGTAGGCTCAAAATGGCAAGCCCACTAGATAGAAGAAGAAACAGGTGACTGCTATTGTAAGATAAGGAACCTACAGCTGGATAGGCCTTCCCTTTTTAAAAGACTACAGTGGCACCAATGCATTTTTAAAATACAATTCTTACTGTGAGCAGGAAGCTGGGATGTATGCACCGTATTTGTGAACAGTAAGTACCCCAATCACCTTCCCCATGCAGCAACTAACTTTAAAAAAAAAAAGATCGCCCTGAGGCCAATAGGAGTTTTTTTTAAAAAGGCCCAAGCACTAGGGAGGAAAAAGAAGGTGGGGAGGGCATGATGTGACAGAAAGGAATGGATGGGAAGAGAACTGGGCAGATAAGTGGGGAATCAGACTCCCTGATTACTATTGGCATGAAGATCACGCAGGTTCTTATGAGACAAGGTCAAAAAAGGGATCTTCCAGTCCAACTCTCGGGAAGGTGATGATGGACGGATACAGGACTGGAGCTGGGAACTGGTTATGGAAGGGATCTCTCTTTTGTGTTAGCTTACACACTATTTCTGAAGTACGTCAAGGGCAAGACAGTGCCCTCAATTTACTTCCTAATATTTTTCAAGTGCTAAAAGAAACCATACATCAAAACATTCCTGGAAAACATGTTTCACATCAAGAATGCTTACTGATTTCTTCTTGTCATCAATCCGTGAACGTAAGTGTATAGAATTCTTTATAGATCTATCTATATATCTATTCTAACATATTAAAGTAGAAAACTACACACACGCGCACACTCACACACAGAACCAGATCCAAGCTGCTGTCAATAAGTATGCCTCAAGCAGCTTCATTGGAGCAATGCCTATACACATCAGCTAAGAGTCTGGGCCTTTATTTGCATTTTAAAGTATGGCTTGAGCCGATTCCTTTGTCAGCACAGCTGGCCATGACAGACTGCCAACATTCAGTGCCTACTTATGCCTCTGAAAGGAAAACTTCAACAATGGAACTCCTTTTCAACACTTAAAGAGTATTAAACCATACGTTCCATCAGTATTATGTTGGAGTGGTGAAAAACTCACTTATAGGCTGCATGTGTGCCATCCCAGATTCACTTTTAGGTCTGTCGGGTTCTCCAGATTTTTTTGAAACACCCTTTTCACCAAAAATCCTCATATCACTTAAGGGGACTGGAGAAAAAAAATGCCAAATTTGGCATTTCCAAAGACTTGCACCTTAGAAATTAACTCAGTTTGGGGGGGGGGGGGGCTTTTCCTGGGCTTGAAATGATCACCTCAATATGGTAAAATTGTTGTTATCCTGGTTCTCTCCTCCACTCCCCCCCCCCCCCCCCAATGCTCAGGGGGCACATGGGTGCACTTTGTGCCAACAATTGTATTTTTAAGACTAATTTGAGGATGTGACACTGCAATGGCAGGAATGAGCTCCCTTTGGACAGCCAATGTAGCCCTCCCAGACCTTAACAGCTGCCTATCCCTAGAACAACGGCTACACAAATTGGTCTCCTAAGATGATGCTTCCAGGATTTCATCTCAGATCTTTTCAGCAAGCAAAAATCTGCTTTTTAGGCCATTCTATCAATGAATATGACTGGGAGCCCTGACTAGTACCCCGACCAAGATGGGCCTCGAGGGGGCAGTGGTGGATAACCAAAGGATTGGCTTGGACCTGTGGGATACGGAGACTGAGAAGGAATTGGAAAACTAGGCACTGTAGGTTGTGTAGGATATGGGCACGATGGCTTCCCATCTGATGGGAAATACTGAGGCTGAGGGAACCCTGGTCTTGTAGATGGAGCCGGAGGGGGCTGTGGGTATCCTGGTCTACTAGGAGGTGCTCTGGATGGAGACCAAGAGTATCCAGGGGATGAAGAAGGGTCACTTGCCTGAGACTGAGGTCCTGAACCCCCAGCTGGCAGAGGGGGGTATCCAGGACCTGAGAGGTGTTTATAAGGAAATGGAGGTTGGGGATATGGTTGAGACACAGCATACCCTCCTATAGCAGATGCTCCAGCAAAAGGAGATGGCTGGAGAGCTCCATGAGCTGATGGGCCACTAGGCATACCAGGAGATAAACTGTAAGGTAAAGGAAAGGGTGGTCCCCCAGACGCACTAGTCTGTGGCTGCTGAACTACAGGCCCAGCAGGTACGCCAGAAGGGTGTTGATGGTTGAACGCAGTGCTGTTGGATGGCTCTTGTGAAGACTGAGGTTTCCTCAGAATTTCCTGAAGCTTCTCCACCTTCACCCGTCGCAGATGGGACAACTTCCTCATGGAGGAAAACTGCTCAAGAAATGTTTCCAGGGGCACTTCACCCTCCAGGAACTTTTCAGCCATTGCCTGGAAGGGAAAAGATAACGAATGCAATGCTCCCATTTACAAAAAAGAACCAAGTTCTCAGCTGTCCTTTTCAACCTTCTATGTAAAAAGCTATTCAAATTGCCCCACAAATGCTCAGTATGATAAAGCTGCCAACACTCACACACTCCATGGCACTCTTCTCTCATTCTAGCCAGCAATGCGGAGGAGACTGCAGGGAGACACAAGGATCTGAGAAATGGTGGGAGGCATGGATTTGCACCAAGCACAACTCTTGGATTCCTGCCATTTCACATCTCTCATCGTAAGCAGACTTGTGTGCTCCATGGACACAGGGGAACCCAAATCTCGCCACCACCTCCAATACGGCCCTGCACCATTTCATTAAATAGGGACCTAAGCATTCAAGATTTGTGTTAACCACATGGGGTTCTGGAAGCAAGCCCACCCCTCTCCCCAATACTGAAGGCCATAGTAAATGGACTTCAGTATTTGCGGTTTTTGTTAACCAAGTAGGGTCCTTGAAGCAACTCCCTGCAGATATCAAGGGGCCACTGTAACTGAAAAGGAATTAAGATATTATTCCCATACTGCCTGGACTTTTATATTGTGGCAACTGTGAAATAAAAAGTCCTGGCTAAAATCCCAAATCTCTAACATTTGGACAAAAGGGGAGAAATAACAGTTTCAAAGTGGACCTCTCCAGGTAAATTTTGGATATTAACAAGTCATATCAAAAATAATTTTCAAATTAAAATGGTAGACTGACCTCAGATTCCTCTTCAATTTTCTGCCCTTCTACCTGAAGAAGACTTAGCAGTGTGCCAGGCTGTATCGCTTTTGAATATTTCTCTGGGAAATAGAAATTATAAGAGTGATTTAAAAGGTAACCATAAACAAGCATTTCTTTCATCTCAGTAACGTTAACAACCCCAAGCTTCTGTGCAAGCATACCTGTGCCCATAATTTATGCTTATATGTTACATCAGGCATCCTCAAACTGCGACCCTCCAGCTGTTTGGGCCTCCAACTCCCAGAAGCCCTAATGAGCTTGTTCAATTGTCATGAATTCTGGGAGTTGAAGGCCCAAACAGCTGGAGGGCAGTAGTTTGAGGATGCCTGATGTAACATATAAGAATAAATTATGGGCAATAGATGGTTCCAAAAAAGAACGGAGAATTCTATTATCACAAATAAAAGCACTATACCTACACAAAGCTGTTAGTAGCTCTAAAGCAGTGGTAGATATGGTGTGGTCAGTGCAATGCATGCTGCCACCAGACCACACTTTTGTGGACCCTGAAGCCCCCTCCCTCACCCCATCATCTACCCCCATTTTAAAAAGACGTTTAACACTGTTCTGGGGCACTTTTGACCAAAAAATATGCAAAACACCTCCCCCCTCCCACAAAACATGTGGAAACCCTGAAAAATACTTTTATCCAATCCCCCAAAGAATCGCGAACTACTCTCCAAAATCTCAATTTTCCTCTAATGCTCTTCTCAAAATGAGTGACACGAAACTACAGAGGTATCTGTGCTTGTTGTAGTAGAATGTGGGTTGTGGGGATCTATGGGGGTAGACTGGACACAGTGCAGTTGCCCACTCTTGCTCCACTGTAGAAATGTCATTGACACTCACTATCTGTACAAGCTATTAGGAAGACTCCAGTACACAAAGCTGTCCTGGAACTAAACTATCTTCTCATGAGTCCTGCTCTCTCCTTGGCCACCATTCAGATTAACGTGATGAAGGTAAGAGATGACAAGAAATATGTAACACCTCCAAACTGGAATATGTCAATTTTACATGTACACTCAAGTAACAATGAGAAGGAACAGTCCTGGTTCAAGGCATCTAGTTTAGGGAAAGCGGATATGCAATTTTACCTAATTTTGCCTTCTGCTCCTGGCACTGCTCAACCAGCTTTTGCAGTTCCCGATATTTATCTGAGAGGTTTGCACGTCCCGTTTCTAAGGGCTCCTGGAACGTCAGGTTCTGTTCTGCCAGACTACGGTTTGTGGCGAGCGCCATCTCCCTTTCCAACTGTAGATCCTGGACCTAAGAAAAACAATCTGTTGTTAAGAAAGTTTAAGTGTTTCCTCTTAAGTTCAATATTTTCTCTCCAATCTAATATTTTGATGTATTTTAAGGGATACCTCATTAGATTCCAGTGCCAGACGTTCAATCTCCTCTGAATTCTCTTGCAGCTCCTTCAGCTCATCAACTGTCTTGTCTCTGAAGGACTCCATCTTCGGAGTGGGGTGGAGTATTCCTTCAGAAAGACAACATGAATGATTAACATGTCTCACACCCCTTTCTGGGAACCTTGGTCTCATAATGTAGTAGTCATGAGGATTACAGGGAGAAGTGGATTGGGATGCAGAATGGTGCTGCCATTTACACAAGCCCTTTTCATATATATATATATATATAGCAGGAAGGGAAAAACCATGCACAAGAAAGCAACACAATCAGGTTCACTCATTCTTGTCCCACTGGAAAACCAATAGTTTACACAGATCCCCTCCAGCAGCATGAACAAAGACATGTATTTTTAGGGACAAAATAATATGTTGGTATGCACAAAAAATTGTTCCCCTCCCTCCTTTCTGGCTCACTCTTTGTTTCAGGAACTATTTAAAACCAGGTTTCTGTTTTTAGAACAATGGAAACTCTGGCTAGATTTTGTTTTATACTTCCTGTCCACTTGCATAAATGCTCTTGTGTAAGTTCAGCACAAAAGCCATTTGGAATATTGCTCTCCTCTGGTTTTTTTTAAATAAACATTATTTGTATATCACTTCTGAAAATCAAAGTTTTAAACTGCATTTAAATAAGCAAATTCCCTGAATCAGATCACTGCACCTCAGAGGAATGCCCCTCTAACCAGTGTTTTTTAAAAAAAAAAATTTAAAGACTATTCAAAATACCACCCTCAAGTACATAGTGAATTTTGCCATTTCTCCCTCTTAGGTGTTAGGCCAAAGACAGAAGCTTTCTAAATTAGGAAATGAACCAGAAGCCATTTAGTTCTCCGTGGACTAAAACATCTGGAAAGAAACATGCAGGAAAAGTACCAAAACAGGCAGGGGATATTTTAAGTATTTTTAATCTAAAAATGATTTAGGGTGGGGGGCCTTTTGAAGCTCCTGCATATGGTCCACAGCCCACATTTTTCACCATACTTCAATTTATCTTTTTACTCCAGGGGCAACACAACCATAAATGTACTGAGGCCTACCTGCTCCTGCTTCTTCTACCTCTGGTTCAAATGACACATCTCATAGACTAGGTTCTGGTGATTCTACATCTGTATCTGCAAGAGAAAGGAAGTAAAACTTGTGTTTTCCACCAGTACATTTTCAAACTAGTTAAAAGTCATTTAACTGTGACAAAAATGCAAATCTAGGTTTCATAAATGCCACTGCTTGTGCAGTACAAGCTGAGGGCCCAATGAATGGCACTATCTTTCTGCAGTGATGAGATTGCATGCTCCTCTGAGGCAAGAAGCTATGCTGACAGTAACAGTGCTGCTAATAGAGTCTCCCATGTCAGATAGGCTTCTGAAGTGGAGCCAGACTAAGGGCACAAAACATTGACTGGGTAGAAGCAGTAGTGTGGGAAGACACTTGTGGAGGAGCTCTCAGAGACATCCGCAGTGGCACCATAGTTAATACTTATTAGTACTGCAAAGAAAGTGACATGGTAAATTCTTTTTCATTTTTTTTACTGTAAAAGCTCTATGATAAACCAATCCACAATGAAACAAGAGATGATACTTCCAGGTCAGATGGGATACAGCATAGTGGCTAATAATGCAACTGGACTCAAGCCAAATTGATGCTCAGCTGTTGAGGTGACCGGAAGTGAAAGGAAAGACTCAAGCTGCACAACACGTACTGTAGGACAATGGAATGAGAAGCATGAATCAGGGGGTGGTAGACATAGTAAAAGAGAAATGCAACATATAAATTTAGCAGTATTTGGGGTGAGTGAACTAAAGCAGATAGAATTGGACATTTTTAGTCTGATAATTATACAATGTTGTACTCAGAAAATCAAAATCTAAAAAAGGGAGGCATTAATAATGAAGAGTTATGTAACAACAGCAGTCAAAGAATATATGCAAAATCCGAACAAATCATATCAATAAGACTTCAGGGAAAATTCCCCAGTTTCTTCCTGAAGAGGTGGTCTGAGAAGGCAGTGCTGGGGGATTCTTGCTTGACTCCTTGGCCACTAGCCTCCGGAGTCCCTCAATGTTGTCTTTTCTCCCATACTATTTAACATCTATGTGAAATCATTGGGAGAGGTCACCTCTGGAGTTTAGGGGTTAGTTGTCACAAGTATGCAGATGATAACAGCTCTATTACCCCTTTCAGCTAAATCTAAAGAAGCTGTTCCCATGGTAGCTGTAATAAACTGTATGAGGTTAAAACAAACTGAAACTTAATCCAGGCAAGACAGAGATGCTCCTAGTCAGTCAAAAGACAAATCTAGAAATTCAGTCTATGTTAGATGGGGCTAGACTCTCACTGAAAAGAAAATTACTGAGAAAAGATAGCATACCAATAGACCTGCTTCAAGGCACGGAGACAGAATTTACTCTAGTCAACAAATATGAAAAACAAAGGAAAGCCTCACAGATTAGAAACACTTAATATACATTATAACCCCCAATAAAGGAGACACTAGGATGGCAATAAAAAGACTGGTGCATTAAAGCCCAACATGGTTCAGGCCCAGGTTACCTACAGGATTGCCTTCTCCCATACACTCTCCTCCAAAGACTTAGGTCCTCTGGGGGGCATCTACTCCAACCAGCCAGAACCAGATAGGCAACCATCACCCAGAGGATCTTTTCATCGGTCGCCCCAATAAATACGTCTGAAGACCTATCTCTTCTGGCAAGCCTACCTAGCCTGTTTTAATTATGAATTTTAAACTCCTGTTTTAATCTGTGTTCTGTGTATTTCACAGCAATACATTTTGTGCATTTTATAGAATGTTTGCAATGATTGTGTGTTTTAACTATGTTGAAACCTGCCTTGAGCCACGAGAAGTGGGTAAGAAATAAAATTATTGTTGTTATTATTAATCTTCCATACATATAAAGAGATGCTATAAATTCTACAACGAAGACTTTTAGCATGCATGGAGTGAGAAATGTCAGATTTTTGAGCTGGGTTCTAGGAAAGGAAGAAGCATTAGAGATCATGCTGCCAATTTAAGGTGGATATAGTAGCATACGAAATAATTTAAGAAGAAAATCAACATGTGCTTTACAGAGTATAGCAGAGCCTTTTGTTTATATATATCATGAAAAACTTTGGATCAATCTCAAAGAAATGGGTATGTCATTTGACTGTCCTAATGTGTAACCTGGACAAGAAGGTACTGTCAGGACAGAATATGAAGAAACAGAATGATTTCCAATTGGCAAGGAGGACAGGCAAGGCTGCATTTTATCACCCTATCTGTTTAATTTGTATGCTTAATATATAACATGTAAAGTAGGATCTGACTCAGATGAAGAAGGTGTGACAGCTGAATAAGGTACATTAACAATTTAAGATATGCAGAAGACATGACTCAATGAGTCAACAATGATTTGCAAACTAGAAAGCTGTAGGAAAAAAAGAAAGGCCACATTCCAGATAGACACAATCAAGAAATTTTGGCTCTCGAGTCTGAAAGTCCTGAGCCGATTGAAGATACATGACCTGGACTTATGACAACCCTTCTAGGCTTGCTACAACTCGAAAGCATATTGACTGCAGGTAACAGCAATTTAAGATATTCTATGTAGTTTTTAAAAATGTTCTGACGACATAAGTAATTTAAAAAAATAAATAAACAGATCTGCAAACAATGCAGGAACGCTTTCCAAGAGGCTGTGCAGATGAGAAAGGGAGAGTACACTTTAAGTATTAAATCCACATTTCTGTTGTGTAGCACTGGGAATTGCTTTGTTTGTAGGCTCCAAAATGAGAGAGCAGGATACATTCATATCTCACAAGCTCACTGATGAACTCAAATGACCAGTAGTGAAAGTGTAATCAGAGGCATTATTCAACATATCACGTGTATGTTGGATATATAACTGCACCTATATTTTAAAGTTGTAACTGTATGTGTAATTTAATATTGCATTTATAATTTACTCCACATGTGCCTGTTAATAATACAAAGGTAAGGTGAAGACCTTCTGCACAAGTCTATTATAGGGGCTATGAAAGTAGCAAAAATATCCCATAATAAGCTAAACTAAAACTCTCTAATCCAATTGGGGCATGTACAGCTTACTGACAGAAGTGTTAGCATGCAGACCAGGATGATGTCCTACCAATTGTCACCATTAGAACAGATCAATTCAATTGGTGGAACTCAAGCAAGAGACCTTTGAATCAATGGGTCTAATTAGGAGTTGCAACAGGGTTTAAAGCAGTGATTCTCAACCTGTGGGTCCCCAGATGTTTTGGCCTTCAACTCCCAGAAATCCTAATAGCTGGTAAACTGGCAGGGATTTCTGGGAGTTGAAGGCCAAAATACCCGGGAACTCTGGTTGAGACCACTGGTTTAGAGCAAAGTCTTTGATAAAGCAAGTTTGTGAGCAATAGATGCTCAAGTATCACTGGAAAGGCAGCAATAAAGATAGAGTTCAAGCAAATTTGGAGCCATAGACATAAGTCAGTGTAAGTGTGCAGTTTCTATCAGGTTCATCATTATAGGTAATGTATTACACAGCAAACTCTGTGTTAGTGGGAAAAAAAACCTACCATATAGTCATGAAAAGTGATTAAATAGGTAACCTTCACCTTGGCTTTAATCTAAAACTAAAACTTGGGCCAGAAATCCATTTCCAGTACTTTGGATGTAGCCCTAAAAGGGCCTGAACACCCCAAAGGCACCAGTTGCCATCTGATCTTGGAAGCAAAGCAGGATCAGCTCCGGTTAGTAATTGCGGATGAGACCACCAATGAATATGAAGTTCTGTGTGCTCTATTTCAGAGGAAGGAACAGGTCAAATCTGAGGATTCCTCGCCTAAGAAAATCTTATGAATGTGTTGTCAAAGGCTTTCATGGCCAGTATCACTGGGTTGCTGTGAGTTTTCAGGGCTGTATAGCCATGTTCCAAAATCTTATGAAACTCACCATAAATCTGGGTTGTTGTAGGTTTTTTCGGGCTATATGTCCAGACAACTTTTGACAATGGACATTACAAATTAGTATCCATGTTTCATCTTTGATTGACCAATGTATCAATTAAACACACTGATTAACTGATTGATATCAACTCTTTGACATACTATTTTTATGGACGCTATAAAAAACTATAGAAATCATCTAAAGATCTTCATGCGTTGTACTGATCAGACAAGGAAGGGCTATTTAAACCATACATGTAAGATAAACAGAAATTTGGAAAGTATTATCAAAGGCTCTCATGGCCAGAATCATTTTTGTAGGTTTTTTGGGTTTGGGTTTTTTTTGTTTGTTTGTTGTTTTTTTTTGTGGTCGTGTCAGGAGCTACTTGAGAAACTGCAAGTCGCTTCTGGTGTGAGAGAATTGGCCGTCTGCAAGGACGTTGCCCAGGGGACGCCCGGATGAATTGATGTTTTTATCATTGTTGTGGGAGGCTTCTCTCATGTCCCCGCATGAGGAGCTGGAGCTGATAGAGGGAGCTCATCCGCCTCTTCCCGGATTCGAACCTGCGACCTGTCGGTCTTCAGTCCTTCCGCCACAGGGGTTTGACCCACTGCGCCACTGGGGGCTCTACTGGGTTTTTTTTTTTCGGTTGAATGTCCATGGTCTAGAAGCATTCTCTCCTGACGTTTCGCCTGCATCTATGGCAAGCATCCTCAGAGGGTGTGGTCTGACAACCTCTGAGGATGCTTGCCATAGATGCAGGCAAAACGTCAGGAGAGAATGCTTGTAGAACATGGACATACAGCCCGAAAAACCTACAACAACCCATTCATTTCAGCCATGAAAGCCTTCGACAATACATTCACCATAAATCATCAGGCACATACAGATAAAGACCAAATGCATTCAGCACTTCGTATTCCATGGCGATTGGCCCTGCTTTGCTTCCAAAATCCGACGAAATCTGGAGTTTTAGGAGGCTTGGGCCACTGTGGAGCTACCTAAAGAAGCCTTTTTTGTCTGTTTTCTTAACGCCCACGAAGAGAGACATTGCATCAGCAACTGGGGCAAGCTTTGCCAGGTGCCAAGAAGAGACGCCTTCCTGCAGCTTTCAGGAGGGTTCAAAAAGCTCCAACTGTCCTTCAAGCCAAGGAGGGGAGTGCCTCCTTTCTCCCGCCCAGGCCCACTCTTTCCCCTCCCCAAGCGAGCCCCGGGCTCTTTCTTCTTCTTCTCCCAGGGAAAAAAAAGTGAGACTTAAGAGTTTCCCCTCTCGCTGCCACTCAATGAAGACAAAAGGGGTATGTGTCTTTTCTCGCGAGATCACGCGAGAAAGGGGTAAGCGAGAAAGGCCCCAATACCCGCCGTTTACCTGTGAGAAGAAAGACCTGGGAGAGGAACTGAGGAGGGAACCCCCCGGCTGCCCTACGAGTTCCGGCTTCCGGCCAAGCGCCGGAAACTGTTCCCGCCCAGCTTACTCGCACAGGACTGACATTGAGGCAGGGTTCCACCCCTCCCGCAAAGGAGATGGTTTGTTCCGCCGGCGGAGCCAACAAACCGGCACGCTTGCCGCCTGGCGGCCATTTTGTCAGGCGAGAGTGAGCCTCCGCGGAACCAATGGCTGAGGCGCCTCGCTGGCGGGGGGCGGGGCTTCTGAACCTTCCCCACGCGCATGCGCGACTCATGCTGCTTATAGGGTCCTGCATGACAGACAGGCTTTTGCCAAGGAACCAGACTGAACTATTGACTAAGCTTCATGTGCACCAGGAATGGGCCAAGTGGGGCCCTGCAGGTGCTTGGGACTCCAACTCCCACCATTCCTCACAGCCTCAGGCCCCTTCCTTTTCCCCCTCAGCCGCTTAAGCGGCTGAGGGGGAAAAGGAAGGGGCCTGAGGCTGTGAGGAATGGTGGGAGTTGGAGTCCCAAACACCTGCAGGGCCCCACTTGGCCCATTCCTAATCTACACTGACAATTTAATGCAGTTGGAGGCCCTCAGTGCTCTGGTTGTGTCATCCCCATCTGGGTCTCAAATTCCAGGATTTCCTCTGTCGTCATCTCCACAGCGAAACCACTTTCCTCGATACCAGTTTGAAACTGCATTAAATGGTCATCGGAGATGGCAGCAAATGGACAGGGTGATGCTCTAGCAGAAGATGTCTTGGCAGCGGCACTCCTTGTAGGCACAGCGAACCTCCTGTGGAATATCTGTTCCCAGAGAAGCCATATGGTAAGACAATCCAACGTGAAATGAGAGATCCTCTGGGTAAGACAATCCAAAATGAAATGAGATAGTGCCAGAAGATGAGAAGCCACCCGGACCTCCCGGGTCAGAAGACGACACCAGTCAAAGGGCACTCTGCTGTTGACTCGCTTAGAAAGGCAAATCCAAAGGAAATAGGAATATGGATTGCAAGACCTGAGCAGGGCTGTTGATGATCAGGGCTCTTATTTATGGAGTCATCAAGTCAAAGCTGACTTGGGCCCACTAGAGAGAAAATCCACTTAAAATCTGGTTTCTGCCTCCTGTAGAATTCTGAGGTTTGTAGTTTAGGGAGGAGCCTTTAACAGCTTCACTAAACTACTCACCCCAGAATTTTGGTGGAGGCAGAAACTGGATTTGAAGTGGATTTTTTCTCTAATGGTGATGAAGTGGTTAGAATCATAGAATCCTAAAATTGGAAGATACCACATTGACCATCTAGTCCAAGCCCCTGCCATGCAGAAAAAAACACCATCAAAGTATCACTGACAGATGGCTATCCAGCCTTTATTTAAAATATTCCAAGAAAGGAGCTTCCACCACACTCCGAGGCATAGAGTTCCACTGCTGAACATTTCTTACACTCAGAAATTTCTTCCTAATGTTCCAGTGGAATCTCCTTTCCTGTAATTCGAACCCATTACTCTGAGTTCTACTCTCCAGAGCAGTGGAAAACAAGCTGGCTCCTTGCTTATGACGTCACTTCATATATTTGTACATGGCTATTATGTCTCCTCTCAACTTCTCTTTTGCAGGCTAAACATACCCAGCTCATTTAGACGCTCCTCATAGGGCATGGTCTCCAGACCACCATGAGAGGCACCAAGATTTCCCTCCATCTAGACACGATACTCCTTTTGATGCAGCCCAAATTCCCATTGGTTTTTTTAGCTGCAGCATTACATTGTTTGCTCATGTTCAACTTCATGTCTACTAAGACTCCAGTATCTTTTTCACATGTACTGTTGTCAAGCCAAGCGTCACCCATCTGCATTTCATTGTTTCTGCCTAAGTGTAGTATCTTACATTAGCCCTTGTTGAAATTCATTTTGTTAGTTTTGGCCCAGCACTCTAATTTGTTATGGCCATTTTTATTTATTTATTATTTATTTATTTGGGGTGCTTCTACCCCTCCCTTCTCAACTCCCTAGGGGGGTCTCAGGGCGGCTTACAAAAGGCACAATTAGATGCCTAACAATTACAACATACAATGCAATATACAATACACAAATTTACCACATAATATCATAGTTATAACTAATTAAAACAATCAGACAGTATACTAGCAGCAATTTTGAATTCTGATCCTGTCTTCTGGAACATTAGCTATCCCTCATAATTTGATGTCATCTGCAAACTTGGTAAAGCTACATTTAAGTCATTAATAAAGATGTTAAACAGCACTGGGCCCAGGACCAAACCTGCAGCATGCCACTAGTCACTTCTTTACAGGATGAAGTGGAACCAAGCTGTTAACTGGATAGCAGTTAACAAGGAGAGGGAATTTCAATAGGTAGGTTCTTGTGGGTTTTTTCAGGCTATAGAGCCATGTTCTAGAGGCATTTCTCCTGACGTTTCGCCTGCATCTATGGCAAGCATCCTCAGAGGTTGAGAAGGTCTGTTGGAAGTAGGAAAAATGGGTTTATATATCTGTGGAATGGCTGGGGTGGGGCAAGGAGCTCTTCCCTGCTGCAGTTAGGTGTGAATGTTTAGCTGATCACCTTCATTAGCATTTGAAGGCTTGGCTGCGCCTGGGAAAATCCCCTGTTGAGAGGTGTTAAGATGTGCCTGGTTGTTTCCTCTCTGCTGTTTTGCTGTTATAATTTTAGAGTTTTTTTTTTAATACTGGTAGCCAGATTTTGTTCATTTTCATGGTTTCCTCCTTTCTGTTGAAATTGTCCACATGCTTGTGGATTTCAATGGCTTCTCTGTGTAGTCTGACATGGTGGTTGTTGAGTGGTCCAGCATTTCTGTGTTCTCAAATAATATGCTGTGTCCAGGCTGGTTCATCAGGTGCTCTGCTATGGCTGACTTCTCTGGTTGAAGTAGTCTGCAGTGCCTTTCATGTTCCTTGATGTGTGTCTGGGCGCTGCGTTTGGTGGTCCCTATGTAGACTTGTCCACAGCTGCATGGTATACGGTAGACTCCTTCAGAGGTGAGAGGATCCCTCTTGTCCTTTGCTGAACGTAGCATTTCTAGATGTCCTAGTTATCCGCAAACCAGATCAACAATTGGGTCACACCGTCTACAGAAAACCCACACACACAGATAGATATCTATCTACATAAAAACTCCACCCATCACCCAAGTCAAAAAAGAAGCACCATTAAAGCCTTGGCAGACCGTGCAAAAAGAATCTGCGAACCCCACCTCCTCCAAGATGAACTGAACCACCTCAACTGGGCTCTCCAGGCCAATGGATACTCCACCTCAGACATCAGAAGAGCTGCAAGACCAAGAACAAGCCACGAGAGTAAAGATGAAGATCCACCCAGAGGAAAAGTGTTCCTGCCATACATCAAGGGAACCACTGACCGCATAGGGAAGCTGATGAGGAAACACAACATACAAACAATCTACAACCCACCAAGAAAATCCAACAAATGCTACGTTCAGCAAAGGACAAGAGGGATCCTCTCACCTCTGCAAGAGTCTACCGTATACCATGCAGCTGTGGACAAGTCTACATAGGGACCACCAAACGCAGCGCCCAAACACGAATCAAGGAATATGAAAGGCACTGCAGACTACTTCAACCAGAGAAGTCAGCCATAGCATAGCACCTGATGAACCAGCCTGGACACAGCATATTATTTGAGAACACAGAAATGCTGGACCACCAACAACCACCATGTCAGACTACACAGAGAAGCCATTGAAATCCACAAGCATGTGGACAATTTCAACAGAAAGGAAGAGACCATGAAAATGAACAAAATCTGGCTACCAGTATTAAAAACTCTAAAATTATAACAGCTAAACAACAGAGAGGAAAAAACCAGGCACAGATTAACACCTCCCAGCAACAGATTTTCCCAGGCTCAGGCAGGCCTTCAAATGCTAATGAAGGTGATCAGCTAAACATTCACACCTAACTGCAGCAGGGAGGAGCTCCTTGCCCCACCCCAGCCATTCCACAGATATATAAACCCATTTTCCTACTTCCAACAGACCTCACTACCTCTGAGGATGCTTGCCATAGATGCAGGCGAAACGTCAGAAGAAAATGCCTCTAGAACATGGCCATATAGCCCGAAAAAACCTACAAGAACCTAGTGATTCCAGCCATGAAAGCCTTCGACAATACAATTTCAATAGGTGTTTGTCATTCAACCAGCATCTGCTGAAATTCCCTGTCTTGCGAAGCCATTGACGTTGAAGGAGCTGTCTCCAGTTTTAATTCTAGCAATGCTCCAGTAGCAATTTTGGTACAAATCTTCTAAACTTAAAAAAAAATGTTATCAATTTCCAATGAGCATTTGATATATTTGGCACAAGAGGACTATTTTGTCGAAGAAACAACGTGGTATATGATGTCTGTGATCCATCTCTGAAAATCAACAGAGCCCTTTGGCACCTGAACTCCTTTGGAAATTTATTCCTGAAGTGCAGCCTGCTTCATCAAATGTATGATGGCAAAGTAGACTACTACAGCCAATGAAAGCTCAACCCAAATAAAACTTCATAATCTTTGAAGAAACACAACTTATTTGTTTTATTTTCAATGGTGTAATAAGGCTCCCCTTCTGGGATTCCCACAGTGTACACAGAGCTAGGAGTCATATGAAGTCAATAGTAGGTTGAATGATTTGATGATCATGAATACAAAGTGCTGGAGTGAAGGACAGAGAACAGGTCCAGATAACATGAAAACCTTTGTTTGAATCCTAGAGTAGGCAACAGTTACCTGCACAGAAGGCACTAAAAATAGGTCAATATGAATGGGAAATGGGGAAGCCTAAGCTTTGCAACACCACCCAAGCACCCCTTTGAATCCATATTTTTCTGCTCTAACAGCACTACTTTGCTCAAAAAAGAAAGTGAAACAAGTAATTTAAAGACTACAATATGAATACTAAACTTTCTTCAGTTCTAAGATACACTTTCCCCCCATATATACATCAGTAAAATAGAATCACAGGTGCTTTATAGATACAGAGAGAGGTTTTGTTTTTTTCTCTTGGTGGTACCGTTAATATTGTGTGTCTTACAATCAAAGGCATCATAGCATTGATGAAATACAGTATTAGTTCTGGCTAGAATTGAACCATTACATTCTGCTGATTCATCTATGGGCCCTTCCACACAGCCATATAACCCAGAATATCAAGGCAGAAAATTCCACAA